CTCTCGCCAAGCTGCTGGCGACTGCGGCATCAACTGCCATCTGAAATTCAGCAGACCCCTTGAACTGATCCACTGTTGCAACACACAGATCGGGGTATGCTGCCCTTTCAGAGGCTGCCTTGGCCCTCTCCTCCTCCAACTCCTTCTGTAGGGTCACCCTCTCAGAGGCTGCCTTGGCCCTCTCCTCCTCTAACTCCTTTTGCAGAGTCGCCCTTTCAGCAGCCGCCTTGGCCCTCTCTTCCTGCAACTCCTTCTGCAGGCCTTCCCTCCCCTCCACTGCCTTAACATGCTCATCTTCCAACTCCTTCTGCAGCCCAGAAATCTCCAGGTCTGCGTCTTCTTTTTTCTTGATCTGCTGGGCACGCAGATTTTCATTGCTGGTCATAGCCTCTTCAAATCGTTCGATGACGACCACGTAGTCCTTTTGAGCATCCCCCAGCTTCTTCTGCTCGCCTGCCAGTTGGAACTCGAGCGACACAACCTGGCGACATTCGCTCTGTAGCTCCAACTTGACCGCTCGTAGCTCAGCATGGGCACTCTCCCAGCCTGCACACTCCTCCTTCAAACTTGCAAGTTGAGCCTGGGCCTTGTCTGCCTTCATCTTTGCAGCCGCCGCCTTTCTCAGCAGAGCTCCTACTAAGGTGGTTACCTCCATTTGAGCAGAGCATAACCCCCTCAGCAACTCAGCCTCATTGAATCTGGCTACTGAGCACACAGCTGCCTCATCCACGATCCCCACAAGGCGATCTGCACTTGCCCTGGCTAGGCCTTCTTCCCCCTCCAGCCGCTCAGCCACCGCGCGAGCGTGGTAGATCCCGGTCGTCAACCCGACACTCCCTCCTTGGGGCGCAGGGATCCCTTGGGGCTATTCTCCTACCCTTGGCTCAGGGCCAGTCACCCCACCTTCTCCTTGCACTTCGGGGGCGACCCTCGCCACCTCTAAGGCGATATCCACCATTATTGGAATGACCTCCACTCTCTCCGAGGCGATCTCCACCACTTCTGGGACGACCACCCCTCCTGGGGTCTCCTCCATTCCCCCCTTCTCTGCCTCCTTGGCCATGCTGGTCTCTTCTGCCATCACTTCCCTCCTCCTCTTCACGGTAGGCTCTTCTTCACTCCTCCTCACTCTCCTTTTCTTCTTCATCACACCCCCCACCTCCATCTCCTTCAAAGCCCTCTCCTTCAAAGGATCTACTGGGAGCGGTCGGGGCACAAATCCACCTAAGTCTTTTTCCCCCAAGGGTTTGGGGCGAGGTCGGATCCTCTCCCTCGCAATCGACTTTGGCGGGCGGTCTTCCTGGGACTCTTTGAACTTACTGGCTTTGGCGAGGATGGCCATATCCTCAGCCTCTTGCGCTTTCCTCCTCACCTCCAATTTAGCTCGCCCCAGATCTCCACCACTCGGTCGGGGACACAACCCTGCTCCAAACAAGGCTGAGGGTTGAACGAGTTCGTCCCACCTGACCCCCTCCTTCTCCCGCCATGCCTTCACCGTCTTTATTCTCTCCTCTGCTACTGCTCTTAGTTTTGGCTCTATAGATTTTGTGAGCACTCTCCACACCGTGCACACCCCAGCCCCTCTATTCGCAGACACATAGAACCACCGCGGCTTCCAACCTTTAATTGAGGACGGCAGCCCCGCCATCGGACCCCTCGCTATCGCCGCCGCCTGTAACGTCACCCACGTCTCTTGTTGTCCTGAGGCCTTATAACATGCGAAGAATTCGTCTATTGTCATGGCCGCCCCTTCGTTCGCCTTCTGCCACGCGCTTGCACAGGCTAGTACAATCTTCCACGCGTTGGGCATTAGTTGGCCCGATGCCACCTCCAAACGGTTCAGGACATCTACCACCACTTACGGCAGTGGCAGCCTCAGTCCTCCCTTCAATGCTTCCTCGTAAAGGACAAACTCCCCCGGCCTTGCATCGAATGGCCTTTCCGTTGACGTCGGCAACAATAACTCTATTTCAGCCGGCACCTGATATTTTTTGCGAATGGCCTCCAACTCCGCCGTGGTAACCGTTGATTTGTTAGCCTTTGTGTGCCAGTGATCTAGTTCCACCTGGCTGATTGGCTTCGGAGCTACTATCATGGTGAAAGCATGAGATCGTACCACCGGTTCCCCCACCCTCTCCATTTGCCTCTCCGTCTTATACTGCTCTGTTAACTCCACTGCGTCGTCATCACCAAGAGGATCCACCCTGACATTCACAGCTTCTTCTTGGGCCATTTCTATGGTATGTCTGCGACTCGCTCCGGATGCAGGTGCAAGGAAATTGAAAAAATGTTGCAGAGGTGTATCTTCAGCAACAAAGGAGTTAACACTTGGGATGTTTTGATTTTTCGCAAAGAAGTAGGTCAATCGAATAATGCCAAAAGCCCACGGCTTGCCCGTATTCCAAGGGTCGCAATTAATTTGCGCCAGTTTGAAAACTTTTCAAAACATTCGCCAAAACTGTCTTTTCAACTCCCATAATGACCTATCGTTTCATTTCTGATCCAACGCCTAATCTCTCCCCCACGAGATGTTGCCACGTGTACGACCACGATCCACTGTCTCCTCCCCTTACCCTATCTTTTCCACTTCAAATCACCACGTGACACGCCGCCTCTTGAGCCCCGCGCCCCTTCACCTTTCCCTTCGCGGTCGGCCCTCCTCATGGTCAGCCCTTCTACTCGGTTACGATTCACGGTCGGTCCACCTCATGGTCCTCCCTTCCACTCGGTCCACCTCGCGGTCGGTCCACCCACTCGGTCACCCCTGCCAGTCGACCTCCATCCTGCCAATCTCTAACACCCTCATTCTATTCATTAGTATTCCCTTCGTTGGACTAAAGCTGCACTCGGGAATGGGGGACTACTGACATGGGTAAGCCCATAAAGGCCATAGCCCACTATGAACAACCCAAGCTCATCACTTGGAGCTCAATACATAACCCAGCTGGTGAAGTCCAGAACAACTGGAATCCAACGTGGCATAAAGAACCAATTGCATTCAGACATACGGTAGGTAAAGGACAAGCCACATCAGCAGACAAAGATCTGCAAAGTTATTGCCACTGCACATCACCATTAATGCAGCCCATCACAGCATTTATTACGACAACACCTCTCCGTCGGAACAGCACCCCTTTACCCTGAACAAGGTAAGCTACAGCATAGATTTTCAGCCAAGATGGCAGGTCAGAAGGGACAGCGAAATGATGACAAAAGGATATAAGCAAACGTTGACGACAAGAAGAAGGTTAAGTTTTTCTATCTCCAATTCATATTTCTACATTTCACTTCTTTCTCCCTCTAACTTGCTCGTCGGAGGGTTCGATGGGGGACTCCCCGTTCCCCATTAAACTCCTGTGCAGGTTCTCTGGTGGGCTTGAACACTCAGTTACCGGTTGAAGAAGCGTGGATTAGTCCGACCCATTCCACCTGAGACCCGTTGTGTAGTAACTATATCATCAATTTCTATCCGTCTCTCTTAGAAATGGTAACATGGCGGGTAAGGGTGTGTCCGGTGTGGTTTGGGCACTTGAGAATAAAATTATAAACTGAATGGCAGATTGGCAAATCGCGATTTGGGTGATTTTGGACGGATTGAGGAATATTCTAACCAATTATCTAGTATTTGCATAATATATAATACTAATTTACATACTTTCATATATACATAACACAAACTAATTTTTTATAATATTTTTCATATGTATAACTATTAATTTGTAACATATTTCACATCTTAAATTTCCGATAGTTATTTAGTTTGATATTTCATTCTAGGTTAAAAAATATATATGTATTAATTATAACGGAACGAATTATAAAATTTAAAGTTTAGTCTGTAGTTAGCAGATTGAACGGTACAAATTAATACAGATCGGTGCGATTTTATTGAATTAGACAGTGTTTACACAACCGTAATGATGGCAGGTATAAGTGGAGTCGTCCTTACCCCACCCTTGGAATTATGAACATTGACCTCATGCTTGACTTTACTCTCCACACCAGGCCAATACATTGTTGTTTGAGATGATCTAAATAAGTGCATTTTTTGACTTTTTACGAAAAAAATATACAGAAAAGTAAAGAGATAATGTAACACAAAAAAGATAAAAAGTGTGCTTATATAGCACACCCCAAACATTTACGATTTGCATTTTGTATCGAATTCTAAAAATGTGGCTTCATGGCTTAGGATAACAAATGATTTATAAGGATTGAAATTTACAAATTTGACAGTTAATCAACATTGACGTAAGAGAGAAATGTGGCACATAGAGAATGTAAAATAGAAGAGAAAAAAGTTCGAAGATTATTTTATGTGATATGATATTTTTGTAATAGCTAATAGGACATATAATTGGGTCAGGTTACCCTTCCCCCAAGTCCGAACCCCCTGTTGAGTTTTCATTTCCACCCCAATCTTGATTTTATCCCATTCAGAAACTCCTAAACTCAGTCCACTAGGTTACAGAGTAGGGCACCCACAAGGCTATAGTGACCAAATTTGGGTACAATACGTAAAATATTTTAGCATCATTCACGTTATTGACACCCTATAAACAAAACCTGCATCCAACCTGTTTGGCACAATTTTTTTCTAAGTTGAAAATTGATAATCAATAAAAAATTAGAAGTTAAAAATATTCATTCTCTAACTTTCAAATAATTAATTTATTTAAGTTATTTATGCCTCGTAAGTTATATAAAACACTCGGACAAATATTTAAAAAAATAAAACAAAAAAAACCTAAAAACAGCTCAATAGGTTGCACCATACAAGACCAAAGAATTTCAAAGGCAGGCCACCAGTTTCACCCCCATGCCCCCTCTCAAATCTAATCTTGCAAGTCATTGCGTCAACAAACAATCAAATTTCTCTTTGGCTTTGTCATTGTTCGGTTACTTTTCCTTACCCTGGACTAACTGTACAATGTACATTGCTAGCCTCAAGAAATTTCTTTCCTGCATCCCCCATTGTACCAGGAAAATAATCAAACACATGAGCAGAAAAATGAAACTTCTGAATTAGATCTCTTTAATTCCCTGAAATGGTAACATACAATCAACAAATCAGGTAGAACAGTATAAATTGGTGGGTTACAACTTTTAGCCAGCAATAAGCTGTAGTGAGAAAAAGAAAAGCTAAGGCTCAGCCAATCTGCAACTGCCTTATCAACACAATCACAATGTCCAGCCTAATTCAGTTTCCCCATTTTCTATACAGCAGTTTCACCCCCAAAAATAATTATCGAAACTACTTTCTAGCTTGCTCCTCTCTTCCCATGTGACTTACAGTTTGTTCTCTTACGAAGGATCTGCTCTACATTTAATCGTTCAAAGCTATCTTCTCCTCATCAAAATCATCATTCGTACTTTCAGATCAGTCAAGCGTCAGATTAAGGCTTAAGAGCTCTTAACTTTGTACAAGCCGATGTAGCATCATCATCTTCTGTTTGCCGGGAAGCAGGCTTCACTTGAACAAATGGGTGTACATTCATCACTGCAGGTGAGCCCTCATCTTCCAAAAATCTCATCCCATTGCATAGTTTCTCATTTTCCCATCTTGGGTCCTTATTGTACAATTAGCTTCTTTCACAGTCAGTAATATGACAAATAAATAAATCTTCTAAACCTGAAAACAAACAGAGGTCTGGCGAGCTTTCCCTGAACCATGATCCATAGCAACAAACAAAGTTACATTCCGTTTGTCCGATCAGGCAACAGAGAGCAGGAACTGAGGTCCAGAGATGGACTCAACTTCACTTGTTCCCTCAATAGCTGCTGACTCACACGATCAGCCAAGACCGACTGTCCATCATATAATTCCCCATGAATAGGTCTTCCAAAATGCTTTCCATGAGCCTCACTTTCACCAGACAAGTGTTCCCTGAAAATGTGTGATCCTGATTGCATCCCTCGAAATATATCATGGTTTGGACTATGATAGGATGGGCTATTAATGTAGGGATTCTGCTGGGGATTTGGCTGGCTTCCAAAGCCCTCTTGCAAATAAACAGATTGATTAAGGTGATGAAATGGGATGGAACCACTTCCGCCTGTGAGAGGCGTGGATGAGCCTGACGCAGTACGCGGGCTAGATATAGGCGAAGGAGACAATCTTCCATTCAAATGTTGTGGTGATCGTGGATATAAAAGAGGGCTCCCAATCGGAGAGACTGGGCATGATATGTTCCTTGGGATTTGAATTTCGCTGGAGATCAGAAGAGTGAGATCAGACAGTTAAGGTTTTGTTGTTATCTTTAAAAGAACTAATAATATAGAAAACATAAGCATAATTTAAATTAGTATATCTCCACACAATAGATTAAGCATGTAGCATGATGGTGCACAGGTTGCTCATCAGTGAGAGAGAGAGAGACCTGGAATGTAGACCAGATCTAGAAACTCTTGATGAATGGATAGCAAGTCTTTCTGAATCCAATTTTGAAGTATTTCTTCCATGTCCAATCCCCTGAAGGTTTTAAAAATAAAAATATAAAGTGAGAAAATGCTTCTTTTACTAATAGCACCTTGCCAAAAACTTATTAAAGAGTTGCTTGACAAGGAAGGCTGGGGCAAAATAGAGCAATGGTATGATTGGCATAGTTCTCAAGCAACTTGGCAAAGAGCAGACTACTTGAGTAAAGGGTAAAACTTCAAGAACTTTTGATCAAAACAAGAGATGAAGAAATAATATTTTGTCATGAACCTTTCTATAATACATATTAGGAGATCTACAAAATAATAATGCTTTACAATCATTCATTTGGATCTTAGATTAAAGATATAGTCTAATCTACAGTAATTCATTCTGCACCATCCCAAAAATGAGTATCTTGCTCTCCATCGCATCTCCCCAACCCCCTCTAAGAAAAATTTAAAATAAAAATAACCAAAACCACAACCAAAAACTTTGTTTGCTATAAAAAAGTCAAAGCATTTGTTTTAAAGATGCACCCCTTACCACAAAAAGTGAATTAATTGTTTTTCCTTGGAACTTGAGTGTCTCCCACTTTTGACAAGGATGACATTGGAAAATACTTCTTTGAGGCAACAACAGATTAATTATGTCCCTAACAAATTAAGCTTTTTCACAGGAGAGATTCGACGTGAGCAAAAAACATGATGCATTATATTAATACATACACATTCTATCTATGAAGCATGGTCACTTCAAAAAGGGTGCAGTGTCCGTGTCCAACACGCGTCGGACACATCAAGTAGCGTATCAATTTTAATTATTACTTTTTGAAAGACACTTTGGAAACACTTTAAAGACACACATATCCCATATGATTTTAGAAAAATGATTGGGGTCAAAATAAAATATATAGAAACAAAGAGGGGGAAAGTGAAAAAAGAAGAAGAAGCATGTACATTGATGCCTCCAATATCTATGTGCCCTAACCCTAAATTTATATTCATATACATAGAAAGTAAAAATATATTTTTTGCCATATCCCCACCATGTCTTGTATCTTTTTTTCTTCTTTTTTTTTTCTTTTTTCTTTTTTTCTTTTTTTTTTAAATTGTTGTGTTTTGAATCCGTAGCAGTGGACATGCTTCTTAGCATTCCGTTATAGTGAATAACATAAATGTCTGATAAATGAACTGATAAACTCACTCTGACGTGATTTTCCAAATGTATATATATAGATGACTTCATTTAAAACCATCATCATCATTTCTATGGTTGCAATCTAGTCTCACAAGTCAACCTAATAAATAATACTCCTACTTAAGTCATTGTAAACAGAACAACAATCATTTAGTTCCCATGTTTAAGTGGTTGATGGTTGACCTCATTGGTCTAACAGCAGTACGTGTTAAGTGAGTACACTAACAATGCCCCTAGGGCTGCAAATGAACCGAGCTGTTCATGAACAAGTTCGGCTTGGCTCGTTTAGTAAACGAGTCGAGCTCGAGCTCGAATAAACTCGGCTCGTTTATCTTTATTTAAATTATATAATAAATAATAATAAAAATACATTATTTATATATTAAATAATATTAATTATATTTTTATTTAAATGATTTTATTTAAATAATATAAATAATATTAAAAAAAAATCTTATCCATCCGAGCTCGAGTTTCATTGATATTAACAAGCTGAGCCGAGCTCAAGCTCAATAAAGCTTAGCTCGTTTGCAACCCTAAATGCTCCACATCCCTCATCTCCAGAAAACTGCTGGTGTGTCACTACCATTCTTAAGTTTACACTTACCAAATAAAACACCATCTACTAAGTGAGAATTTGACCCTTCTCTTCCCATTCCAACTGGAGTTTCACTCACTGGATCCTCCAAAGTTCCATTACTCAGATTTAGCATGGTCTAGACTCTAGATTCTCTAACTCTATTTCATCACATATCTTTTCTCCTTCAAACTCAAACACAGCTCTATAGGAAAAGCAAAAAACCACAAAAAGAAAAAGGACCTAAGAAGTTGAGTTCCAAGTCAATGAGTAACTTTAGCAACAAAAAAGTGACTAACATGACATTTATGGTAAAAATGATTTCATTATCAAAATAAACAGAAGGATTTCATGTACACAAACTTGATATCGTGAGATGGCATCCTTTTGACCTTAGCAGCCGTAAAAGGAAAAAACATAAAAAGATGAATGTACCAGAGATTTCACTCCATTTGTAACCCCAGCAGGTGGATCTGTGTGCTTATGATCTATAATTGGTCTTTCCAAAGGTGCAGCATTTTTCACAAAAGGGTGCCCCAAAAGTTGAGCAGCTGTAGGACGATGCAGTGGATTACGTTGCAAACACTGCCTCACAAAATTCTTTCCTTCTTCTGAGAGGTTATCAGGAATTGCAGGGAGGTCTTTACTATTACCAATCTTAAACATGGCTGCCACCTTCAGGCCAGAAGATTCAAAACATCACATAGTAAGAGGAAAGAACAGATCTCTATCAGATAATCTGCAGACTTGGAATGTAAGAAGTCTGATTTCATTTTATTTTTGATAAGTAGGAATGTAAGAATTCTGATTAAGATGTATACTTCAGATGTACATACAGTACTCTAATTAACTGATTTTTTATAAATAAATGTCTAAAGAAAAGCACAAATTACGAATATTTGTATCCAAATTACTGACCCCTTCATACTGGCTCCACGGTGGTTTTGAGGTAGCCATTTCCAAAACAGTGCATCCAAGACTCCATATATCAACAGCAAGGTTACCACTTGAATTCCTTATAACCTGGGTGAAAATAGAAAAAAGGAGGTGAGAAATATAACTGCAAACCGTGTCATAACCAAAAAATTAAGGCTACATAATTATATTCTGACCTCAGGTGCCATCCAGTAAGGACTTCCCTTAAATGATAATGGACATGACTGCCCAGCGATCTGCAAATTTAAAGGATGCCATTATATTTTCTAGGAGGATGGATTTCAACAGGTGATCTCATGGTTTAATGGCAAGCATTGGTTGACACTTGCTATGAAATATCTAGCAAACAGAAATAATTTAATTCAAAGTATATGACAGGCTATAATAGTAAATGGCAAAGCATACTACATCTATTTTTTTTTTAAATCTCTGCTTGTGTAAACTCAATGAATAATAATATTTGTGCTCGTGCGCACACACACACGCACACAATTTAGTACTCAACTCGAACATAACTAATACTCAATTGGTTTGATTACATTTCACGAGTATATACATGTTGCTGCCTAGACTTACATGCTTTGCCATTCCAAAATCAGCCAATTTGATACGGCCATTTGGGTCCACAAGGATATTTGCTCCTTTAATATCCCTGCACATGAGATACAGCATAAATAAAAAGATGATTAATGTCTGCTGCTGAGAAACTAATGCCAACTCTAGAATATAGTAGCTGGATGAATAATGGTCCACATAACTAAATAAAAAAGGTTAACTGGATTCACCTATGGACTGTATTTTTAGCATGTAAATAAGCAAGCCCTGACAGGATTTGTTTAGTATAACTACGAATTGCTAATTCGCCGAACTGCCCATAGTCTTGAAGAAGCTTGTAGATGGAACCACCAGACACATACTCCAAATAAATATAAAGTTTATCACCTACCTGCTCAAGAAACATAAGTTCAGAGATAGTGTTAGATCAAAAGATTTCTGGAAGTGACAAATAAAAATATACTTCTCTATAAGATGCAATATCAAATGTGTAGTCCAGCCTATCAACTAAGCAATTTCCATAAATGCCCCAAATTATGGTCCATGGGAAACTGTATCAGAAATTTTTTTTAGTAGTTAGCATCACTTAATGAGTCTCTGTTTCAGAATATCAAAATAACTTTTGAAATAATGACATTCATCAAAATACATGTTACAAAAAAAAAAAAGCATTACCCATTTTTAAAATCAACAATAGTAAATGGAAAGCATAAAACTTACTGATTCAGACCCGTAATACTGCACAATATTAGGATGCCTTAACCGACTCAATAAAGCAATTTCCTGTCAGAGACACTCAACATAAGTACTTCCATCCAACAGTTAATAGAAATTACACCAAAACAAGCAAAAAGAGAACTAATTTCTGATGAAAAACAAGAAGCCTTATCCTGCAGAGAACCTCAATTAAATTTATGAGTACCAAACTTACTTGTCCCAGCTGCTTTGCACTTTCCTTTGACTTTGCGTCATCTGAGAATAATGTAACCTCCTTCATTGCACACATTTCACCACTTTCACTATAATGGTGAGGATAAGGTGAGATATAAAAAACTCAATCAGTGAACAAAACTTGAGAGAATGCATTAAAAAAAATACACAAGCAACTGTAATCAAACACATTGGATGGCAGGAAGCACACCACATTTGGCAGGGTAATGTTTAACATAAGAAAGTTCATGTACATGATAACTTGCCTCCGTTTTAAGTAAAACTAAACACAAAATCAAATGATGATACACAGTATTGCTATGCATGAGAAGTAAATGAAAAGAAAAAGAAAAGAAAAGAAAATCATGAAGGGCTGAGAGTATTAATAATTTGGTTCTACCTATTAAAACCAACATAAACGTGCCCAAATGTGCCTCTACCCAGCAACTTTCCTTTTTTCCAGCGAGAACCAGGACTGGTTGGATTCTCTGCCCTTCCTGGACTTCGTGGCACGGAGGGAGATGTTGCTGCTGAATTTGAATGAGAGTATGGAGAAGAGTTTGAAATTGTAACAGGTGGAAGAGGCAACCAGTGACTTTGTTGTTTCCCATCATCAGTGGCTGCCCCTCCAGCTCTAGGATGAAGTGGTGTGACAGCACCACTATGAATTCTCGAGCTGCGGCCAGGGCTAGTCATCCGGGGACTAGGAATTGGTGAATATTCTGGGCTACCCCTGCTGGGCTGCCAAAGAAATTGTCCTGACATATCGCCTCCCATTGAATTATGCCCTGAATTGTGCCCTGAGCCCGGGCTGGAGCAATGACCAGATCCAAGTAAAGGAAGATCTGGATACGTCTTTCCAGCCCAGAAAGCAGAATTTATAACTTGCTCGGTTCCAAATGCTCTCATTGGACTTCTGGAAGGACTTGACATTGAGCTATCTGGAGCACTGCAGAAAGTACCATGACAAGGGACCTGCAGATTTGACACATGATTGCTCAAAGGCCTCCTTCTAGGCGATGAAAGAGAGACCTGATTTGCTGGCTTTATTGCCTCCCCCAACTTTATTTCCGTGACAGAGGACTGGTCCTTCACCATCATGCTTCAGCAAAAATGAGTAAACAAGTCAGGGATGAAATATACATACACCGTGAGAATTTATATATCTAATAAAAAAGGAATAACAATAGGTTGCCTTAAAAAACTCAACAAAATGGCCACTTGAGTTTAAAAATTAAAAAAAGAAAAGAATTGCCAACAGTAAATATCATGGTTTTTGTCCTTTCACATGCAAACTCACCTGGAAGGACTCCCTGTAGCAGTTCTGCTACCATTTTCATAGTCAGATGCCAGGGGACTACGTTGCCGTGAGTCAGCAGGATCATCACTCTCCATAGAGCATTCACTAGAAAAAGAAGCGGCGACTGCATCTCCATCTAAATCTGTAGGGTCTGGCCTGTTCCGTATGCATGCAGGTCTTGGGAGAGGCAGAAATAATGATGGCTTGGAACCTTTCTCCAATCTTGGCTTTGTCGATACACTGATTCCAGAATCTGTACGACTTATGTTAGCAGGGTGCACACCTGGAAGCGGAAGTGGATGGGCATGAGGCCTATCAATAAAACTATGACACCTTGATACTTGTTTAGAAGGTGATGGTGACCTTGATTCTGCTCTGGAATGAGACCCCTTTTCTGAAACTGTGTCACTGCTGTGTCTTCGAGACGCTCCTGATCTACTGGCAGGTTTACATTCAGATGGAATCTTAAATTTTCGGTGTAATGAATCAATGAAACTCTCGCTTGTTTTCTTCTTTGCTGCTTTAGATGATGATTTCCCCCACCATTGAGGCATGTTTTTTTACACTTACAGGTACAAAATTGATGGTAATATCCGCTCCCCAACAATAACCTAATGTATAACTGTCGAAAAGTAACTAACCACATCTCCCATCATTATAGCTCATGACATGCTGTTTATTCTTTAGTCAAGCAATGACTTTCTGAACGGCTGCAACTAAAATTGTGAAACATCAAGCAGAACTCATACACTGTTTAGAATAACTGCACATAAATACAACCCATTAAAAGATAATGGTAAAATAAAATAAAAGCAAGTACTCAAAGGTTATATGATCAAATCAGACACCATAGTGTCACACGTAGCCCTTGGGATGTATAAATCTAATTTGTTTAGAATTTTTTTGATTATTTTGAAGGAAAAAAAAAGGAAAAATCTTTAAAATGTTGTAGCAATTTGGACTTATTCTTCATTCTTAACTAAAGAACTGTAATGTTGCAATCCATGAGTTCTTTAGTTAATAAGTGATTATGAACCCCTTGCACATTCTATCACATTCTATCAATAGGTAAGCTAAAGTAAGATTTCTTCTCCTAGGTAACCTCATAGCTCCCCTTCTTTTTCAGTTCAGTCAAGATTAAGGAAAAAGAAATGAAAAGTACTAAAATCTTATCAAGAAAGAAGGTGACCATCTCTTTCTTACTGAGAATCAAACAAAGCCTTGAAAACTTAAACTTTTCTGGTTTCACATCATATTTTCCTCATTGAATAATTATCATGACCACATTTGACTTCATTACCACTTTTTTCTGAAAAGTAGCAGCACTGAACTACAATGTTTTAATATATTTCCAAATTTCTTCATAACATGGCTCCCCCCATGCATTATGTCACCACCATAAATCATTCCAAGCTATTTATAGATAGTCAGATAACATTCAAAACATATTTTTTATTAGCATGATGTAGCTTGTATCAGCTTCTTTACACCATAAATATTCGTGCTCTATTTGGGTGTAGACAAAACATCGGAAAGAACATAATACAATGCCCACATACGTTGGGTTTCACAAAGAACTTTTTCAAACAGTCAATCTTCTCCAAAAATAGAGATCACCAAAACTTCAAATAATGCATTATTTTCATTTAATGTTCCACAAAACAGCTTTTTACAGTTTTGGAAAAACCTGAAAATTCTCTTGATTTGTTTTGAAAAACATGTCTAAAAAAATGTGCACTTGAAACCATTTTCTGCATCATTATCACTTTTTCCCATTCCGACATGTCCAACATTTGATTCTATCCTTTGTGGCAACAAGAAAAAAAAAAAGAAGTCAGTCTCAAAATCAGTGTGTTTGGAATGGTGGGGTTTCATGGAATTTGGTATGTTTGGAAAGAATGGAATTTAAAAAGGGATTTGAAAGGAAACAAAAGGAATATTGAAATCTCATGAAAAATGGTAAGATTTCAAGGGAATTGAAATGAATAAAATCTTATCTAATCCCATTTACCCACACTACCCTCCCCTTCTTACAAGTTCCCAACTAGCTAATAGGGATCATCTAAATTTTCCCACTTTTCAATTCTACATCAAACCAAACAGAAAAATAGAATCATTTCCTCTTAATTCCAATTAGTACCAAACATATAAAAAGGGAATTCCTAAAAAATCCATTCCTCTCCTTTTCCTTTTTGAAATCCCATTTCTAAAAGAATATGGTTCCAGACACAGTTTAAGCATTAAACATCTGGTATAAATAACTAAATTGGGTTTCTTCGATTTGTCTCAAACCAGACCAACATAAAAAGCAAGGATCAAGATTCAACGTTCTATTGTTTTCTTTCTCTAAGTTTTCTTACCAATCAAACAAACAACTACACAGTTCATCAATTGATTCTAACTAGTTTGTTTCCCATTTTAGGTCAGAAATCAGCTTGATCTCAACTACTTCAAACAAAACACAGTCTTACAACACAGATCTAACCATAGAATGAAAAACAAACAGATAAAACTTTTCAACTTCCAGTGATTACACTAAAACCTCGATAAGGTTAGCGAAAACTCACCTCGAATTCGAATCGTCACATCGCTCAAGCACATGAGCTAATCTCTGATATGGAATGTGAATCAACCCAGGAAATGCAAAAGCAAAACCCTAGAAATCTCAGTAGAAAGAGAGAGGAAGAGAAAGTTTGGAAAGCTTGGAATTGTGGGGTTACTGAAGAGATCGCGTAGCGAAAGCACTGTGAGAGAGAGAGAGAGAGAGAGATTGAAGAAACGTAGAGAGAGAAAAAGAGGAAAGAGAGAGAGGTGTGCGTGTTTGTATCTAGAATGTCCGAGTACACACACAAGTGTTGTCTGAGAGTGATGACTTTAATACAATTATAAAAATTAGATTAATAATAATGTAAGAATATCACATTAATTAGTAGCACTTTTTATTTTTTTATTTATTTGCAAGTCCAATTTGATAGATTCATTTATTTATTTGCAAGTCCAATTTGATAGATTCATGAAAATCCCTTATGGTAATTTTTTAATTTGAGAAAATTACAAATACACTTTTAGGGATTTACTTTAAGGTCAAGTTTGGGAAGACTAAATAAGTGCACTTTTTGTCTTTTTGGACTAAAAAATTGAGATTGAAAATATGGATGTTTGGGTTAACTTTTTGACTTTTTATGGAAAAATGTGTAATAAAAAATTGTAAAAATACTTTTTATTTTTTTATTTATTTGCAAGTCCAATTTGATAGATTCGTGAAAATCCCTTATGGTAATTTTTTAATTTGAGAAAATTACAAATACACTTTTAGGGATTTACTTTAAGTGTGGATTATCTTTTGTGATTTAAAAATTATAAATACCTTCTTATTAAAAAAAATTTATTTAACAAAATTAACTAAAAAAATAAAATTTATAATTACTTTCCTATATAACAATAAAATTACTTTTCTAATATAATTAAAAATTATTAATTGACTTGATGATTTATTAATAAAATGAGTGATTTGTTATGAAATTATAAATCTCAAAAAGTGAAATGTAATTTCCAAAAGCACAGAAGGCGATTCGTATTTTAATTAAACTTTAAAAGATGTATTTATAATTTATCTTTTTAATTTTTACAATCCTTTTGACTTAATTTAATTTTTACATTATTTTATTTAGTTGTGAAATAAATTAAGAGATAATTGAAGATAAGAAAAGTATATATTTTTTTCTAGAATTTAAATTAAAACATTTATTAAAAGATCATATTTATTTTACAATTAAATTTTGTTAACGTTTTAAATTTAAATAATTATTAAAACATTTAAATAATTTAATAGGTCTTCAAGACCAACAAAAAAAATATGGGTAAATTACGCTAATAGTCCCTATAGTTTGGGACTTGTATCACTTTAGTCCCTGACTTTTCAATTGTGACACATTTGTCCTGAATTTTGAATAATGTTCCAAATAAGGACAATTGAAGATATCATTGTTTAATTTCAATGACAAAATCATCAATTTGATAAAATATAAACTAATTTGACAAAAATAAATGTCAAAAAAATATTTTTAATTTTTTTAAAATTATTTTTATCCACCGATAGTAAAATTATGTAAAATTGATAAAAATTAATAAAAATTGCATGATTAATTTTTAAAAATTAATTTTACTTGATCATCATCCAAACACATAATACAAATTAATTTGGTAAAAAAAAATGTCTAAAAGATTTATTAATTTTACATAATTTTATTTTAAGTCGGTAGAAATAATTTTTAAAAATTCAAAAATATTTGTTTGATATTTATTTTTGTCAAATTAGTTTATATTTTATTAAATTGAGGATTTTACTCTTGAAAAATCTAATGATATTTTCAATTGTCTTTATTTGAAACAAGATTCAAAATTCAAGATCAAATGTGTCACAATTGAAAAGTTAGGGACCAAAGTGTCATAAGTTCCAAACTACAGGAACTATTAATGTAATTCACCCAAAAATTATTGAGTTAAAACAAACTTGGGATTTAAATATTTTTTTAAAATCAGATTAGAGAGGCTAGATAAGTTTGACGTCTGGTTGAGCTAAGCTAAAAATAACATACACTACGCCAAAACAGGGTATTAACGGCGGTTTTTTTAACGGCGGTTTCGTTACCGTCATTAAAAAAACCGCCACTAAAGTATCTTTAACGGCAGTAATGAAACCGCCGTTAAAAAAACTGCCACTAAAGCCAAAACCGCCACTAAAATATCTTTAACGGCAGTAATGAAACCGCCGTTAAAAAAACTGCCACTAAAGCCCTCTTTTAACGGCGGTAACGAAACCGTCGCTAAAGCCCTCTCATTACCGCCGTTAATGACAGCGGTCTTTGTCAGCAAAGCTTCGGCAGAACTCCGGCGAGTGGTGACCACGCGCGGCCAGAGGTTGAACATGACAATCTACAATAAAATAAAAGTAATGTTTAAATATTTAGTTAGGGAATATATTTCATATAGAATGACTATGGTGGAGTGGTTGGCGTGTATGGATTAGAGGTCAAGGGTTCGAGACCTAGGGTGCAAGAAGAGATAATTATTTTTTAAAAAATTTGAACCTATTTACAGAGGTAAATAACCGCCGTTTTTGGTCCTATATTACTGCCGTTTTTGGTCGACTTTTAACAACGATAATTTACTCTTTTATGATGGTTGTACATTTTCCGACACAAGTATAAACGGCGGTCATAAATTACCGCCGTTAAAGGCTTTAACAGCGGTTTTACATCCTTTAACGGCGGTAAACAACCGCAACTAAAGCCCAATTTTGACATAGTGATATATGCTTTTATTATATAATACAAACTCGATTCAAACCCGATATAATATAATGCTTATTTACTCTTAAAAATGGTAGTTTTTAGCACCATAATCCTAATATTTCTACCATAAAGGTATTATTTTATATTGCAATTTTACTTTTTGGCAACTTAATTACAACTTGGAGTCAAATGATTTGCATCTTTCTTTCTTTTTTTCTTTTTTTTTTTTTGTAATTTTTTTTCTCTATTTTCAATAAATTAACGAAGGGAAGAAGATAAGAGAAGATAAGTGAAGATAATAAGAAGTCTCTTCCACTTTTGGGATGCTTTGCTAAGAAAAGTAGTTAGATTCTCATTTGTATTAACTTGTAATTATGTCGATATTTTTTCAACAAAAAATATATGTTTTTTTTAGGTCGTACGTTGCTTATGAAATTGTGCTTTAATTTGTTTGTCCATTATAACAATTTTATGATCAAATATTCGAGACAATTTACAGGTACCTTGACGACTATTTCTAGAACTCACACAAAAACTCTCCTTTCACGTGGATCGAAAAAAAGCGTAAACTCAAAAGCTTTGTTTGTTTGGGGTTATAGAGAAGAGATTGGGATTGATAGTAAGGCGGATCCAATATCTTTGTGTTTGTTTTAAGAGATAGAGAGGAGATTCGAATGGACCTCCAACACTTGGTATTAGAAAAATAATCCATCGGACAATTCTTTTTTAAATTTTTTACATGTTGGGCATTTTTTTTATTTGTTTTATTATTTTATATTTATTTTATATAAAAATAATTTAACAATCCCTACACCAACAACTATCATCAAAACAAATACAATTTTACTTAATCTCATCATTAACAATCCCCTCACTATTAGTCTTTTCACTATGAATTTTCTCCATTCTACCTTTAAAAATAAACAGGGCTAAGAAATTTATAATAGCGAGAGTAAAACCTGTGACTTGGAGGAAGCACACCTCCAAATTACACACACTAAGCAAATCCCTTATGGTTCCCTATACCAAATCTTATACATTTTTTATTATTAATTCACATAAAAATTTTGTGATTAATACATAAAAATTTATTATTTATTTTGATACTATGATGAATTACAAGTTTAAAGCTTCATTTGACATAGCATGTCTTTTTTTTCTTCTTTTTTTTTTTTGACTATTTTAGTCTAACTACAAGTTTTTTGTATAGGGTAAACTTTTGATTTTTTTTTTTAATTGTAAGAGAAAAAATAAATTAATTATGATTTAGATATGATAATTTATCTTATTAATTTTTTTAACCTATTTTATCTTGTAATTGGTTAAATTAGCCAAAACTATCATGCTAAAGAGAGTCTAAATTGTTAAATAGAATTAGAGCTTGTTTGGGAAAATGGTTTGGACTAAAATAGTCATGTAAGACGAAATAGACTATTTTAGTTATATATGATAAAATGTCACATTCAATTCATAATCGTTTCATTTTTTCTCTGATAAAAAAATAAATAAATAAAAAATCTATTCCAAAAAAAACTTTTTAACCCTAAATTAAAATAATAAAAAAATTAAAAAATCTACCCTTTTCCTAAACGAACTTCTAGTTGGATTACTGATTGACTACATTATACACCGTTTTCAAGGAAATTTGGAGTTTAATCATTGTCAAAGACAAAGATTGAATATGTCTTTTTGAAAAAAAATTTACAATAAAAAATTTTTATGAAAAACACATTCATAATAATATATCAATAACAATTATGGGATTGTGTTGAGCTTCTTTTTTTTATTTTTTTATTCTCATTATCGACCATTCTTTGAGGTGGTTATTGAAATTTTATAAGATTCTATAAGATTAGTTGATGAAAAATCCACTATTCATTTGTTTTTTTGTATCCGATTCCTTATTCGTAGATTGATTCATAATTGTCGAGATTGATGTTATTATTCTCATATTTATAATTAATTTTCCAATAATTGTCAAAATAATTTTTTTTTCTTAAATAGATAAGTAATTTTACAATTTACAATATCCTCAACAGAATCTGAGAAACAAATAGACATGGAATAATGAACCAGCTGAGATACCCTTTTTTGGCCTAATGTAAGAGAAACCACTGGGAATAACACATTAATGAGAACCAATATGCCAATATTTGTAAAGTTGCCATACAATCCATAAAAGGATGGGCTTCCTCCTGTATTTGGGCAGGAAGGTATTGGAGATTTATTCTAGTTTCGTTTTGATAATTTGAATCATTAATTTTATAAGATCTTTTTATTATATCATTTATAAAAAGGAAAAAAAAAATTATTTCAATTCAATAATCGTAAATTATTCAATTTGTTACATTTATTTTTTTTAAAATTAGATTCATTCGATAATTCAACCCTCTATTTATAGTTGGTAGTATCCCACTTCATAGGATTATTTGGAGCAGCTTTATGGAGATTATTGCCCTCGTCAACTTAAAAAAAAATATTTTTTAGTCTAAAATTTTGAATTTTTTTTCCAATTTTATCTTTCTAAAATTATATATATGCCCTTCAATTATTTATTTT